CCCTTTGCACACTGATTTTCCAGACTAACACAGCTATGTCTTTGAATTTTACCTTAATAGACAGAGAGATAGACAAATTGCTTGACCGTTGACTATGAAGGCCTGATGGGAGATGCAGGCCAACCATGACTAGAGGGCCATGTATTCTTCACTCCTGTATGAATAAATACAATGGTTATTTTTGACACTAACCCAGCAGCCTCACCACAAACAAGTGGTGGATGAGGCAGGGAATTAAGGTAAAAATGTGTTGTAAATAGTACGAGACAGAACAAGGTGCTCTCTGGTGCAGATCCAACCCCTGTCATTTCCAAGACTCCTATAACTGCTGGTTTCAATGTTACAATTAGACATAGGAAGAAACAGTAATTAAAACGCTAGATCATTTGGAGACAGAGGTGATGGAAATGCAGACCAAGCCCCCTTTGTTGTACTTCACCCACATCATTAAGACTGCAAAAGCATCAGTCCAGTCCACGATTTTAGAAACCGGTATTTATTTGGGAGACTAGATTTTTTAGAGCCAAATTGTTAGCTTGCACACTGCAATTGAAAGCTCTCAGCCAAGGCCACAATGCACTGCTAGATAATTATCCATTTTAGTCTGACCTAACATTGTGATGCCTGGAAACCCGCCAGAAGAGAATTAGCTGTTAGATGGGTGCGTGAATACCTGCTAACATTTCCGATGAAAACGGAGCAATTTCTAACACCCTTAATCTCAAACCAGTAGCTTCCATTCCACTGTTATAACTAACCCATCTTTCTTTCTACCAGCTACTGAGAGCTTGGAAAAGTTTCTCTCTTGGTCTAAAGTTCCTAGAATAATAATAAAAAATAATAAAAATTTTATTTTTAACCCGCCCCTCTGCTAGGCAATCGGGGCGGCGCACAACAAATTAAAACAATACATGGATAAAACACATCAATCAACATTGATTCCTCTAACCCACCCACCCCTTAAAAATAAATTAAACTAGAACAGTATTAAAATAGCAGAGTAAAACCAAACCACCTCTAGTTGAACAAAACCCCTAGCTTCCAAGCTCTGTAGCTACTAAGTATGTTGGAATATTATATTTGGTCCACATTTTCAAGCAAACCAACCCAGTCCTCATTTTCTTGGCTAACTGGAGCACCAATATCCTTCCTTCCATACCCAATTTACTAGCATTGCAGAGAGCGAGACATTAAAAATGGTTCTCATCTAAAACTCTTACTGTATATACTCATGTATAAATTGACCTCATGTATGTCAAGAGCAGGTTTGGGGACTAAAATTATAGATTTTTGATATGATCCATGGATAAGTTGAAGGTAAACATTAGGAGCATGTAACAAAGGAAACACACAGCCAGTGTGTAGTGGTTCTAGTGATGGACTATGACTCTGGAGAACAGGGTTTAAATCCCTGCTCAGCTATGATACCCGCTGGGTGACCCCAGGCAAGTCACACACTCTCAGCCTCAGAGGAAGGCAATGGCAAACCCTCACCGAAGAAACTTGCAAAGAAAAGACTGTGATAGGTTCACCTTAGGGGGTCGATAAACTGGAAATGACTTGAAGGCACATCACAATGAAGAAAGTAAAGAAAAACGGTGCCAAAGAACGTACAAAATTCCAGCAAGCATGACTGGGATGGATGAGGAGGAAATTACAGTAAATGGGGGCTGTGTGATGTGTTGGGGAAGCGACCAAGAGTGATGGGGCTAAGAAAACACATACAGGTCAAAAGGGATGTAAGGGCAAAAATTAAGATACACGATTGCACTTTGCCCAACCAAGAAGCGGCACAGTAAAGCGGAGCCTCTACTTTAAAAGCAAATAGTTTTATTCTATTTTTAAAAAGTAATTTAAAAGACTTTGATGCTGCCCTATAAAATTTCACAGCAGTGTACAACACAAAACAGTTTAAAAAAAATCAGGAAAATAGAACCCATTTTAAGGGTTCATTTAAATCAATAAAATCTACTAAAGCATCAGGCGAAATAACAATGTGTTTGCCTGGTACCTAAAGGATAAGGCAATGTTGGAACTCAGTAAAATTATTTGGACAGGGCAACTATACTTTGATTGGCAAGAAAGCCTTCTCCTCTTAGATATTATGTACTTTCATTATATCCCAGTAATCCTTACTGATACTGTATCAGGAACCTGTTTTATTCCAAATCAGATCAATTGGTCCAGCTACATGGGTTGCCGACACTGACTTTGAGCAGCTCTCCAAGGCATTATCCAAAGTACAAAGCCAGGCTGGAGATTACTTTTGGACTGCAACTCCCAGAATCCCCCCAGCCTTTGACCAAGAAAGAACAGCATTTTTTTTCCTAAAAATAAATAAGCACAACTGGAACAAGAAAAATTAATGAGCAAGAAATTCTGGGTGCACCTACACTGTAGAAATAATATAGTTTGACACCACTTTAAGTGCTGTAGGTTCATCCTATGAAATCCTGGGATTTGTACTTTTACATGGTCTTTGGCCTTCTCTGCCAAAGAGTGCTAGTGCCTCACAAAACTACAAATCCCAGATCTATAGAATGGAGCCATGGCAATTAAAGTGGTGTCCAAGTGCATTATCTCTACAGTGCATAGCACCTTCGGTCTCTCTGTTGTTCATCTGCACTAAAGTTGCCAAATTTAAAACTGGGGAGGGCTCCTCTACCTTTAATGGTTGTCTGAAGAGGGAATTTCAGCAAGTGCTGCTTGTCATACAAGCAGGTAATGATCAAGACCTGCTAAAAATCTCTCTTCTACAAGACCATTAAAGGAACAGGAGCCCTCTCCAGTATTCACTCTGGCAACCCTAGTGTGTATCATAGAAGGATGTTTCAAAGCGGCTCAAGACTATCTCAGAATATTCAGTTGCCCTACTTTCCAAACAGTTCCCTCTGTATGGACATCCTTGGCCCTACCTTGGCAACACTGATGTGAACAGATCTTTTAAAGGATAATTCAGACCTGTTTATGTTTTAACAGCCATCCTATGCCAAAAGAGACTGTGTGTCAAGCCAATGTGGCATAGCAGTTTGAGTGTTGGACTACAACTCTGGAGACCAGGTCAGTCGTGAAACCCACTGGGTGACCTTGGGTACATGCTCTCAGCCTCAAAGGATGTCAACGACAAACCTCCTCTGAGCAACTCTTGCCAAGAAAGCCCCACTTTGGGGTCGTCACAAGTCGGAAACAACCTGAAGGAGCGCACCACCACCACCACCACCACAAGAAGCCTAATATTTACCGTATTATTTATTTATGGGATTTATATCCTGCCTTTCTCCCAAAATGGGATTTACTCCTGATTAGCAGTGACTCTGCAAGGTCTCACATCAAAGGTCTTCATCATGATCTTTTTGGAAACTAGAGAAGCCAGAGACTGAACCTTGATCCTTCTGAGCCCAAAGCATGCGCTCCTCATGGAGCTATGGTTACCTCTCTTTGTAGCTGCAGGAGTTAAAGGCGGCTAGGCATAAGCAGCTGTCATGACAATGTGGCCTTATCTTATGCATATTAATCTGAAAGACCTACTGTGTTCATGGAGCTCACTCAATAATTCATTTCATCTGACCCACTCAGATGACCTCCCTGACTATAACCAAAGAACTCCATGAACAGAGGGACAGAACCAATGCCATCTCTCATGCCGCTGCTGCTGAACTACAATACCCATCATCACTGACCACAAGCCATGCTGGGGCTGATGGGAACTGTGATCCAACAATACTTGAAGAGGCACAGGTTCCCCACCCCTGTTCTTTACTGTCAGTTGCTTCGTCTTACATGTGAGTAACAATACACATGGGAGAGCCAGTGTGGCATAGTGGTTTGAGCACTGGACTATGACGACTCTGGAGCACAGGGTTCGAATGCCTGCTCAACCATGAAAATGGGTGACTCTCAGGCAAGTCATGTTCTCTCAGCCTCAGAGGACTGCAATGGGAAACCCCCCTCTGAAAAAAAACTTGCTAAGAAAATCTCATGATGAGTTCGCCTTGGGGTTGCCATAAGTCAAAAGCACACGTACAACAAATATAGATGCACACAGACCTTGTTAGCAGCAGTGTGCTAACATTGAACAAAGAGATACCAAGCCACAGAAAAAAACAGTTAGGA